TAAGCTTGGATGTTCAAGGGAATGTCTCAAAACAGACAACTAATATTGTTTTTAAAGAAGTATTTCACAGATTGCATTAGGTAAATTACTCGTAATCATTTTTTTCCGTTGCTTTTGATTCAATTTTTTTGAAACTTAGTTATCTTTGCATTTTCTATCTTAGTTGGAATGTTGGATGATGACCAAGGTGATTTTGTTGGCACGGTAGTTTGTGAGGTTTCTTTCTCTCTCTAATGCTCTCTTTCTAAGCCTATTCAGGTATTTCTCAACTTATTGCTAATATAAAATAGTCTAGACTTTTATAGAATTCCCTATAATGCGGTGCTCAACTAATAGATAGAAATTGTATTATTAAATGATATGAGTTCTCTGGAAGTCTCTCTTTTCTCCCCTTATTTCTCCTTTTGCTGAATATTAGTTGGACAAATTTTGCTTCGATATGCAATTTGGATAATGGAAATATTTCATGTACAGTTCGCCTTCATGAATCTGAGTAGTGTTAATTAATGTTCCTTTCTCGATATACTGTTGAGTGCAGCTAACAAATTCATGGGACGATGAGTTTCACAATGTTGTCCAGATGAATTATGCAACCAGCGCTCCTCATGATAGCCATGAGGATGCAAATGGTATACTCCTCATTTCTCTCCTATTAATCCTTATGTCATAAGCCAAGCGTTCTTAATCTGACTGAAAATCCACCACTGCATATGCAGCGTCTCTGCCAGGTCATATGAAAGTAGAACTTTGATCCCTTAATGAAGCAGCTTATAATTGATGGCTGTATAGCATTACTATAGTAAACAGGTAGCTGGGGTCACAGTAGTTCCACTTCTAAACATCAGTGGTTTATTGAAAGTGTCATTGGCTCAGATTTTATAACGAGGAGCAGATACTCACTTGGAAGCTTGACGTTCCTCGGGTGTATGGTAGAGCAGCAAACTTTGTTTTCTTTTGTTCTGGCGTTGAATATATACACAAAAATGGAACTCTTTGATCATGGGAATTTAGTTACCCTCCTAGCATAAAAGCTGGGAGATACTATGGTGTAAGATCATCACATACAGGTTGCAAATGGAATTATTGATTTTTAGTTTGCAAAAGGCTTTATAGATACTAAATCTTTGCTTCTGACTTTGCCCCTTATTAGTTTTTATTTCAAACTTTTTTTCCTATGACGTTTCATGCTTTAGTTTGGCATAGCAAGTGCAGTAGAGATTGTAATTTTTCTTATCATTCAGTTTCCATTGGCATTATCTCCCCTGGTGCCTGAAAATGTGAACTTTTCAGAAACCTAGCAAACCTAGCAAGTTTTCCAGCATGCATGATGGGTTTAAATATTTCATTTAAAAGGAATTTTTGAAGTAGATTATTTGGAGATTGGCTTGGATATCGCACGTTACTAGACTATAATTGTGTTACCCTGTTGTAAGCATGCTCATGCATTTGTAGCTATGTTACATAAACTCTGGAATCAGGACCAAGTGTCTGATATTGATTTCCTTAAATAATGCAGCCTTGAATCCTTTTTAATTTTGTGTAATAGGTCACCTCTATTTTTATTAGAAGAACTTGTTACATTGTTTTCTAAGCACCTCGTTATCAAAACATATATTTCTTTGGGTTGCTAGCCATATCAGTTAAGCATTACAATATTTACTGAGCAGTAAGATTTTATGCTGCAAAGATTGTACTTTCTGAAGTGGATCTCCTTAGATGTTTATTATTTTATGGAGTTCTCATCAGCTTATGTTTTTATGTAACTTAAGAGTGTGGTTCACCTTTGTCAATAGAGATCACAACGATGCTAATCTGACATTAGTTTTATTACATGTGACCTTTTAGGTTTTGCTATGCTTTTTTTTACATAATTTGTACACTTACAGGTAAATTCCCTTTGAATGGGGATGTCCCTTTTAAATGGTCTTGCTGTACTTCAACTATACTGTTGACAGCATCAAATTTAGATGTTTTTGTGCTTGTGAAAATATACATAATGCTATTTCTGTCACAGTTATGCTCTTTCTCTGTCTTCACT